CGTCGCCGCGTGTCCACGTCCGAGCCCTCCATATCACGACGTACGTACTCCTCCGGGTTGTCCTCGAATAACTCCATATCTGACTCTAAAACACAAAACCGGTTATATCAAACAATACAGGTTATAAAAATATACAGGAGATCCAATTTTAATCCGTTTCCTGTTCCACGCGTATAAGAAAAGGATTGGGAATAAGGATTTGACGGTGGTGGAGACGCATAGGAAGGGGAAATATGCTCTTTATGTGCATCTGCTCCGTCGATTTAGGGTAGACAACGCATCTGCAATTGCGGATGGCTACGGGCAGCGGTCGCTTCGCCATTTTGGCGAATTTAGGTGTCCGCTTGCTCGTTTATCACCTTATTGTATAAAAAAAAACAGGATTGTTTTAATTAGCTTTTTGTAATTCGATTTAAAAACACTTTTAAGGGTTAAGAAATCTTCAGCTACATAGTATTAAGTTTTTTTTTAAAAATAATTGAGACGTTTTTTCATTCCTACCTCTAAACTCCATATTGGGAATGACTACTTTCTCGCAAATACTGCTGAGAGTGTTGGGATCTTCGAATAAATTTTGATATCTCTTTTTTTCGGCTACCTTCGCCAGGAATGTCAGTGCATTTGATACAAGCTGTAAGAAAATAATAAAATATTATAACCTAATACATGCGCTCTCTCGTGTCGGAGGCCAAGACCCACTTGGTCCAACGACCATAGTAACCACTTGGTCCAACAACCATAGTAACCACTTGGTCCAACGACCATAGTAACTACTTGGTCCAACAACCATAGTAACCACTTGGTCCAACAACCATAGTAATCACTTTATCCTACAACCACAATAACCACTTAATCTTATAACCATAGTAACTAAATCCTACAAATGGTTACTATGTAACCACTTAGTCCTATAACCAAAACAACTTTATTCTGGAACCATAACTCACCGCATCATATTTAGCATGCGGTCCTGTAGCCAGCAAGACTGTCCACACCGCAGTCACAAACCCTGGGGCATGTGGATGGAACTCCTCCTCATACTTCAATGCGTACAGCGCTGCACACTCACACACTTCTGTACGTAACTGTTCCATCACACCGGGCTTGTCGTCATCCGTCTGAAATATACAATTTCTTATGTGAATCAGCTGTAAAAGTTCAGATCACATAGATCTGTGCTGTTGAGCTGTGGCTCAATAAATGATTGGCTTGACTCCATGCAATGAGTGAATGAACTCACGAGTTGTGAGCCGCAGTTTCCAACTAAAAGATTATAATACTATGGTAGAAACTGAACTAAGCTGTGAATGGTACAGTACTCTGCTTATAAATGTGATTATTTTATAGTAAAGGTATCGAAAAAATCTAAATAGTACAAGAATAGATAACAATGTATAAAAACCCATTATAAAAAAAATGAGAATTTTAAGGTTAGAATGTTATTATTTTGTTTATGGAAGTTAGGACTTATTGATTTAGTCACCAAAAAAAAGATTCTATTGGTTTAATTTTTTTTTTAATTAAATCTCTCAATACTCACATCAGCTTCAAGGCTAGGCACTTTAACTTGTAACAAATTAAGCAAATTTGGCATCCATATTGGCATATTATCCTCAAAGAATTCAGGTAAATCTTGATAATTTAATGAATAGAAGACTTTGCATATCAGTACTAAAGACCCGTAGATAACACGTAGAGCTTGAGGATTGTTAGAATGTGTTGAAGTTAATTCTATTGTTGCCTGAAATTAAATAAAAATTATTTAACAACAATTTATGACAAAAAACATGTAATAACTTGTTACTATCTTACTTCTTACTAATATTATAAATGTGAAAGTTTGGATGGACGGATGGATGGATGTTTATTAGAGTTTATAGACTAAACTGGTGAATGGATTTTGATGAAATTTAGCATACATGTAGAGGGTAGTCTGGAAGAACACAGGCTAATTTGTTTGTTTTTTTAAATATGACACAGAGTTTAATACCAAAAGATAATTCTTTTAAAATCATACAGTAAGGTTGTTTGTTATGATCAAATATAATATAGAGTTTATCATCTAGTTGCCCTTGTCCCTACGGAGGGTCGGCACAGTATGATCTGGTCTACCATACATTTCATTTACCATCATATCTCAATCCACTCCTTTCTTAAGCATATCGTCTTTCACACATCCATACTTTTTCGGTTTACCTCTACCTTTGAAGCCATCCACATTCAATCTTAACACATTCTGGTTTATGTTACCATCCTCTTATTTATTTATTTACACTTTGTACACAAGGAAAACAATCACAATAAAAAAAAAAACATATTAGGTGTTGGTTGTACAGGCGAGCATAACTCTAATAGAGTTTTCTTACTGCTAACCGTTTCGATACAAATTAGATGTTTAGCAGGTAATGAATGTTGATGTGCAAAGTAAAATAAACACTTAAATAATAAGATTAACAAAAGCATACACTATATTATATTATATTAGCTACATAAATAGCTGCTTGTCGCATAGTCATGTCTATACTGTGCTAACCTTTTGCGTCTGATTTTCTCAACATTAAAAAACTTTTTACTTATATCTGATACATACCACAAATAAGTCTGTCAATGGTTTTGCAAAATTTTCCAGCACATGTTTAATCTCCTCCCATAGGGGTTGTGATTTAAATTCAAATCTATATTTCTTGAATAGGGAATGCGCTGTACGTAACACTCCATTGATTATGTGGAAATCACCTGAAGATAAAAAAAAATTAAAGATAACACAGCTTAGTAATTAAAAAAAAAACAAAAAATTCTATACCAATGACTCAGAAAAGTAAGGTGTATCTTATTTTGTAAGGTGGGTAAGTGGTCAACCTTTTACCAAATAATAACTAGCTGTTGCTAACAACTTTGTCTGGGAAATGTAAAAGTTAAAAATGTAATCTTGTTATTCACTGATGATCAACTCTTCTAACAGTGAAATATTTTTTTTAATCGCCCCAGTAATTATTGAGTTACTTCAAAACATACATATATATAACATAAACCTTTCCTTTTTATAATATTAGTATATATTAAAAAATGTACACAAACCCGTTGCAAACTTCTCAACCATTTCAGAGATGAGTCCTGGCCACTTTTGAGGGAAATCATATTTGCCAATAATAGACACTGCATCACTGAATTGTCTCTGGATAGCTTCCGGTGATTTCAGCATAAGTGAAACTATGAGACCTTTTATAGCTGCTCTGTCATTTGCATGAATATTGTCTGCACCATCCTCCTCCTATATGAAGATAATTTTTATATCAGAGATTATGTATTGCTGTTTACCATTCTGTCAATCAGCCCACTGATTGAATGATATCCTGGCATATTCCCATTGGGTCATTAGATTATATGGGCTGATCAACACATCTGGAAACATCCAGATGTATTTAAAAGTATAGGTACGTTAAAAGTTTAAAAATGTATCTGTGGTCTTATTAGATTATAACTAACATATTTTTCAATAGGAACATTTATAAAAACAAACTTACAACTGGCCAATTTCTTTTAATATAGTTTTTAAAAGCGACAGCTCCTGCTATTCTTATAGTTAAGTCAACTGTGTCCTTATCAATCAAATGTAACAGCAAAATTGCATAGTTTTGATTCACTTCCACACCTTCGAGAAACTTTTCCGCTGAAATATACGAACAATATTAATTAAGAAACCAAAAGTAAGACCATGATACAACTTGAATGATGAGAATCCACTAAAAAGCATTATCAATAGAACTGAATTCTTGTTGCAAAATAATTATTTTGAGGTTATAAACATGTCAAAACAAATAAGATATGAAAATTTTACAAAACTTATTTGAATTTACTAGCAAATGTGATAAAGTAATAAATTAAGTAAATACCAATTAACAAATACACTTTTACAATAAAATATGTACTAAATCAATTGTTATAATAAATAATAAAATACGTTGCAAAACTAACCGGGTCTTCGGATGTTTGGGTCTGGATTTAAAGTTTGCTGCAAGTAATTAGCTAACGTTGCCAAATTTTCATCCGTTACTTCCATTTTAGTTTTATTATACGATTAACTAACGATAGCACAAAGGAATTGTTTGTAAAATTAGAAATTACTGCGTTTTCTGCAAACGAACGGTTTTCTTTTCTCACTCAAAGTGAGTCAAAGATTATGTCGGCATGTAAATGAAAGGTACATGGGTACAGTTAAGTAAAATACTTATCAAGTCGCAAAGAGTAAGTTTGTTGAAATTGCATTTTTCGAATTTGGTTTGATTTGAGGTTTAAACATGATGTACAAACTCAAATACAGTTATTTTGGGCAATTTCGCTAAATAGCGTATCTGTTTCATCTAAATTATTTGTGATTTTGTTAGTAGTTTAATATTGGACGTTTAACTATAGGGCAACATAAAAATTACACGAATTTTGATTTTGACACAATCTGCAGCTGGCTGACAAACTGACAAGTAAAGTTTGACAAGACAAGAATCAAAAGTGTTTATGATTTACAAAAAAAAATCATAATCGGTGTATAATAGGCTTGGTCCAGGCATTTTCAATCATTAATTCTATAATTCTCGAAGCGTATCAAAAATTAGTAGTATATATTACTGTAAGAAGTATAACCAACATGTCTCAAGCTCGTCTTCCGCCTTGTATTCCCTTGCCTTTGGAGCACAAATTATTAGTTACTGTGATAGAGAAAGCTAAAGATTGGGCCCTTATGCATGGTGTTGGAATGCGAGACAAAAAACATTTCACCAAGGACTCCATACAGGTACCAATTTTCATATTTTAAAGTTTGCAGACTCATTGCGGCTAATATAGATTTGCTTGAGTTGTACAATTTTATTAAATTTTAAGTTATTTAAAGTGCTGAACACCAAAATTGCTATGTTTTCATCAAACTGTATTCCTCTCATACAACATCAATTCCAGGTATTATTTTTTTTATTTGTTTTTTAAAACAGATTGCTCCATTCGTGTTACTGCCATCTCCGTTTCCGAGCACCGAGTTTAACAAAGCAGTGGAACTCCAACCAGTCCTCAATGAACTTATGCATAAGGTGAGTTTTATTTTTACCTTATTGCTATTATAACTTTTTTATGGGCATAAATTGCCTTGCAACACCATTAATTTATTTATTTTTACTTTA